TCATGTAAAGCTTGTTTGGAGTTGCTTTTATTCATTTTAATGAATTTGACTCTCTTAACAGCTGCTCACCCTGCAAATAGCGCCCAAAAGTTGGCTGTTCTTACATACGAGTATGTACACAAATAAAGCTTTTCATTCATAACCTTGTAAAATGCGAATCGCGTGTATGCCAAGCAATCAATGTGTGGACTGTTACTACAATTAAATAATTGCATTCGCGGTGCTTATATGAAAATTAGCACTGTTAGCACCAAAATTAATTAATTTTTAAAAGATTTTCAAAAAATATTCTTTTTACAATTAAAAATAATTATACATTTTTATTTAAAAATTGTTTAATAAGAAAATTGTAACAATTCGGAAATATATAACATGTTTTAATCGTTTTTTCGAGTTAACCGAAGCCCTCAGGGCAAGTGCACTTATTATCACAGTTCACACGATTCAAATGGGAATGATTCAACTGTTACCATATGTGTGGTGTGTTTGTATAACAGTATATTGGTGTCTCAGTTTGTTGTTGCTGTATGCAAGTTATAAAATGTTAACAGAGTGTATGCGTTCACGTTCGGAACAGCTGAGCGAGTGGGTGGCAAGAGAGTAATGAAACGCAGACGAAAGTGCAAGGCCAATTATGAGCAGGAGCAGACGCAATAATAAATGAATTGAGTGAAGTGAAAACAAAAAAGAAAAAAGAATAAAGTCCAAAATGAAGCTGAAGGATTTTTAATAGTTCAATGTTACTATAGATTACTACATTAGAAAAAGGACAAAAAGTGTCGAGTATAAGTTGTCAATGCAATTTTAAATTTCAATATTTTAAATAAAGGTAAGAAGTTAAAAAGAAAAAAAAAATATTTTATTATATATATATTTATATTTTTTTCAATAAAACTCTTCTTAAGATATTTCTTCAGTTATAATTTTGGGTTAATTTTATAAATTAATGATAAGGTGGCTGAAATATAAACAATAATAACGGTTATATTTATATAGCAATGGCTTAATGCGTTTGTTCTATAAATACTTCTAACTGATTTACTCGTGTTGAGAGAAACGAAAAATAAATTATATTGAGTTTAAGTATTAATTTAATTAAAAACTTAAGCAACTCATATCTAAGAATACATTGGCCCACTAAGACACAGATCTATCTCATGGATTAACACTAAATTATATTTCATAATCGTAAAAATTTCTTTACAAAAATGGTAATTTATATATATAACAAAATAACGAATTATCACATATTTATATAGAAATATATATATATACATATATATATTTCAGAATTTGGTTATAACCATTATTATATTAATATTAAAAACAGATCAATTTTATTCAAAACATCATTGAATTTTTTCACCAAATACGCTCCTGTGCAAATTGAAGTTGAATCGAAAGTGTTATGTTAAAGGCCACCCAGTTTGGTGGGTTAACATTTTGGTTTATGTTTAAATTATAAATGAATTTCTTTACTCTGTTAAGTGTAGTCAATCTTTTGCTTATTGAGCAATTGTCTCCTTTTATTCACATCACTCATACGCCCACGCTAAATCGTATTGCGCAAGGGAATGGATTATGCCTGGGTAGAGTTACCATATTTTAAAATTATAATTTCTAATATTTGCACTAATAGAAATTATATCGTAGTAGTATAAGAAAATGTGATGATGTGATGATATTATTAATAACAGTAATGATATGAAAAGGTTTTAACAGGTTTTTTGATTTTATTAGTTAAATTACTTAATAACACTAGTAGAATTTTTATTTTCAGTTAAACAAATAAATGAAAAAATCTAAGGGCTTATCGTTCCATAGATTTTGTGAAGAATTTTTCAATCGAATAATCCTAAAGGCTTATCATCGCTGTTGGTGGATGTCCAAGTTTCTGTATCATACAGCAAGACTGTCATGATAAGAGACTTGTAGAGCGCGATTTTTGTTTGTCGAGAGAAACCTTTATTACTCAATTGCCAACTAAGCTTACTAATATTTATTGGCCAGTGTGATTCTTAAACTTAGCATATTATCTTGTTTGTTATATCAGTAATAGTACCAGTACAATATAATTATATCAGTGGGTTGAAAAAATCTTAATTTGAATTAACTTTTGGAAACAGTATATAAAAGGAATATGGTCGTCAATTATTTCAGAACAAAATATCATATGGTACTGTAAACATTATCACAACAGTTGAAGATATGGGTCTACCTAAGATACCATAGGTGTTTGAAAACTTCATTCACATTCCCACTATCCGTCATACTCATTCACAAATGTTATTGTAATTAAGCTAACCATTACCGTAGGACGACGGTTAACTACAGCATGAGCATACTAGTCAATTCTCAACTCTCATCAATGCAGTGACTTGAGGGCGCATGAGTCACAGCACTGACATAATATATATTATCTGTCCATAGTATATTAAATCTACCTAAAACATGAATCATCGAAATACAATTTGTGAAGTCAGCAAGATCCATTCCATGCAAAAACACATTGAAAGTTTCATCTTCTGATATAAAATAGCCAAGATTCAAAATCAAACCGCAAAATGATCTATCTTGTAAGAATTCGACAGCCCCAATATATTCTTAGGCCACCCTTCCACTCTCAGACGCGTCCCATCTGGTCTCCCAATATGTCATCATACGTTCATCCATCAAGGAACG